ACTTAATGCTTATGAACTAATCTAATCAATGTCTGCTCGTGCATAAAAGTAATTACCTTTTTGAAGTTACATGTTGCATTTAATGTTTGCAAATCATGAACGTTCAATTATTCCATGTTGAAAATGTACGCAGCAAAAAAGTTAATGTAAAAATAACTTATATATATATAAATTTACTATGCGCATTATTCCATAATGACCTAGACTCCTAAATAACTTGGCAGTCAAGGCCTCAATCTTATTATTTATATAGTATTGATGAATTTTTTAAGTTTCAGATAACAGCAATAATGTCAAACCAGTTTCGTAATAAGTATAGCAATAAACATCCTCATGGCGTTGGGCAACTTTATACTCTTTAAAGCGTGATAGTCGAAAAGTTCCTGGGTTTTATTCAAAGGCAATATTGAAAAATTCTAATGCTTTCTCTTTATTTTTGACATTGAAGAAAAAATGTCGACCACTTACAGTTGAAAAATGATCTTCGGCTTTATTAATTTCACACTGATAGGCTTCAGTTGAAGAGCCTGATTAAAACAAATAAAAAAATGTTAATGAAACAACATGATAATTTTTATTTGTTTGAAAATTCAACGAATGTGCCCCTAAAAGTGTTACGATTAACTAATTTATGATAATTGCAAATGAAAATTCCTACTCATTCACTAGTAAAGAAGATCTTTTCAAGTTAGCTCACTTAATAATAAGGTTTTAAGAGGATTCGATAATAATGGCTCACCCCGTAGAAATTATCTAAAGTAAAACATATTCTTCATATTGTGCAGAACTATACAGTGCAATAATTAAAATGCAATCACCAATTTAGAGTTCGTAATAATCATCCGATGCTTCTAACAATACAGAACAATAATTAGCCTTGATATATAAACATTTTTTGTTCAGTTGGTGCAATCTAAATTTAAAGCATACTTGGAGCCATAATATCACATAATATAGACTTCGTACCTATTACGATTTAAGTACCAAGTGCTGAGTACGCCGAAATCCATTTATGCAATTGCTTGTTTAAGCATTACTAGTTGTTAATGAGTTTGATAATCGAAGCCAAGAACTTTTGTTAATCGTAAAATTACTAACATGTTTTGCAGAAGCAGTGTTATTGCTGTTAAGTTAAATTCGTTTTGATCGGATTTTTGGTTTGAGTTTTTGTGTAGTGAAGTGAAAAGCATTCAACATTGTCAACCCGCCAATATTTTGGAGAGTTATTGACTCGTAACGTTACTAAAAGTACAGTTTGAATTTATTTACTTCTATAAGACAGATCTTATTTAATTTTAGTCTTACTAAGTGTTTAATTCTGCTTTAAATGCTCGTTTTGAAATAATGGTCGTCATCGTTGAAATTAAGTCGCAGTCTGTTTTGTCGAAAACTAGATTTCATATTTGTGTTGACTAACCAACTTTTAATTGCGTTATTATCCTTTTTCTTGCATTTTGCGACCCATTATGTCTACAAGTATTAGGCAGTTAATATTTTGTGATAGAATGTACCTTTGTACTTGTACAAAATTTGATATTACATTAAAAAAAAAATAGAAAATTACATTTATCAAAAATTGCTAAATACATTATTACATATGTATTATTATTATTATTATTATTAATTATTTGCAATTCATTTTACTCACTTAGTAAGTTGGTAAAATTGAGCAAACTTGCTATTTATTCATATAGGATGCTCCTTCTCAGCTCCCTTCTTTTACTGCATCTACACGATTTATTTCGGAAACATTCTGTGAACGGGACTACAACAGTTTAACTCAGAGAATATTTTTAAAATTTGTAATCCTCCTAATAGAGTAAACACCCTGTATTTTTACCAGTAATTGAGACTCGTCTTACCTCGGGCTTCTCTCTAAAATGTTATTCGATTTAATTTCATAGTTTCAATTAATTATAATAAAATCCAGAAAAATTATTATTTTGGGTATATTTTCAAATATTGATAACAATTTGACTAACAAACAAAATTAAAATAGTTATTAATAAATTAAGGTTTTTAGTTTAACATATTGCGATTACCGTAGCAAATCTTCTACATGGTGTTCAAAAATCAATAGCAAACTTCTCAACATGTAACATTGAATGAACTACTGAACTACTACTGAACACCGAATTATTCGGACAAGATAACTTATTAATCATCTACAGGGTTTACAGGAATTAGTATCCAAATACTTATTTATTTCAATTTCGGTTATTGCGAAATATTTTCCAGACAAATTCATTAACCTCGTAGAATTTCCAACTTGTAGATTATGAGAATGGGAATTAAAAAAATACATTTTGTCATCATTCACATGGCTAGCAGAATGCACATTTCTTAGAGTATTTTTATATTGAATTGGCTCTAAGTTTTCTTGCCAGCTGGTGTACGAGCGTTTAGTATGATTTAGTTTGTTTCGCTACCACTGAGCAAGAAAAATGAATTGTGCACTATATTCTTAAAGCATGGTTGAAACAAGCAACATATTATTTTATGATTTTCTGGAAAAATGGTATTAGACACCCAGTATAGTCTGCATCTGCATACTGGAACTAGCCAATATGCTACGCGGATTGTCTACTTTGCTGTCTTGATATTTATAAACACTTCTTACTGCACTTATAAAATAAGTAGGCAAGTTTATTTACTTTTAACTTTGAGGAAGTAATATTTAAATAATACTCAGGTGACTATAATGAATTTGAGAATCAAAAATAAATATTTAAATTTCGACCTGTTGCATGAATTAGTGTTTATAAACTGTCGCAATAGCGGTGCCTAAAATACAACTTTCACCGAACCCGATTTTGATTTCATTCAATATTTATTGGACAATGATTGGATAGTTATTCACTCTTAAAAGGTTTTATTGTTATGTGTGGTTGTACTTTTATTGAAATTCAACCATCCATTGAACATGTAAGAAAATTCGCGCTAGCTTCGCCAGAAGATTCAGAATCTGCAGTATTTGCCTTTGTAAAACAAAGTTGTTATTCGAAAAGTTTTTTTACGGAATTTATGACTGAATCGCTGTGATAAAAAGCGCATTCGATCTTGGATGTGTCACCCGCATACACACCAAGACACGTTTTGAGTCTTGACTAATGTAAGTGCAATTTTAACTAATGTGATCCGCCAGGTTCTATTATTCTTCTATGGGGTGTGCATAAAATTTCAAGTTACTACCTGCTCTGGATTGTTAGAAATTTTCGAAGAAGAGCGTGGAGTTGAGTAAAAACTTGCATTTTCGGTCCTTAATTGTCAAGGCGGAAAAATTCACTATAGCTTGGTATTCGAAAAAAATTGACTGATTTAAGCGGCCAGTATCTTCTATAGGGTGTGCAAATTTTAAGTCACTACCTGTTCTGAATCGAAAGTTAGGAATTTTCAAAGAAGGGTGTGTAGTTGGGTGAAATTTTCATTTTCGGTCTACCATTCTCAAAGCGGTAAAATATACAATTTTTTGGTATTTGAGCACAGTTTTGACTGGTTTGCGCCACAAGTTTCTTTCATGAGATGTGGAAATTTCAAATCACTATTTGCACTTGATCGAAAGTTGTGGATTTTTAAAACACACTGTGAGTGGGATGAAAAATTTAGTTTTTGGTCCATAATTCACAGAGCGGCCAAAAGTCACAGTCGTCTGAGATTCGAATGAAATTTTGACTGGGTCATACTGGTAGTTTTTGCTGTAGTGTCGGCGAGTTTAAAGAGTCTACGGGCTCCGGAACAAAAGTTAGGAATTTTTAAAGAAGACCATGCAGTTGGGTGAAATTTTAGTTTTCGGTTCATCATTCACAGGGCGTAAAAAGTTGCGATTGTAATTCAATTAACCTTTTGACTGGTTTGAGCAGCAAGTTTCTTCTCGAAGATATATAAATTTTGAGATACTGCCCGCTCTGGATCGGAAGATAGAAGTTTTCAGAGAAGAGTATGCACTTAAGTGAAGACTTGCAGTTTCAGATTTGCATTATATTTATGTATTCAAGTAAAATGTCCGCCTGCTTGAGCTGCTAGTTTCTTCTATATGATGTGCGAATTTGAAGATACTACCTAATCTGGATAGAAAGTAAGGATTTTTCAAAGAAGAACGTGCGGCTGAGTGAAAATTTGCATTTTTGGTCTATCGACAAAATGATCAAAAAATTATTTTCTTTTGGAATTCTAGTGAAATTTTGATTAATGTGATTCGTCAGTTTTTTCTATTCTTCTATAGGGTGTGCAAATTTCAAGTTACTACTTGCTCTGTATAGGAAGTTAGAAATTTTCAAAGAGCGTGCAGTTGACTAAAAACTTCCATTTTCGGTCCTTAATTGGCAGTGCGGAAAAATTCACTATAGTTCGGTATTCGACAAAAAATTTTGACTGGTTTGAGCGGCCAGTTTCTTCTATAGGGTGTGCAAATTTCAAGTTTACTGCCTGTTCCGAATCGAAAGATAGGAATTTCTAAAGAAGGACGTGCAGTTGTTTTGGGCAGCAAGTTTCTTCTTCTATAAGATATACAAATTTCAAGATACCACCTGCTCTGGATCGGAAGTTAGAAGTTAGAAAACTTGCATTTTCGGTCGCAAAAATTCAATATATTTGATGTATTCAAGTAAAATGTCCATCTGAGTGAGCTGCTAGTTTCTTCTATAGTGTGTGCGAAAAGTTGGGTAAATTTTTCATTTTCGGGTCATCATTGAGAGGGCGAAAAAAAATCTTAATTTTTTGTCATCACATGAAAAGTTTGACCAGCTTGAGCTTCACGTTTCTGCTATAAAATCTTCCAATTTCAAGACACTACTCGCTTTAATTCAGAAGTTAGCGCTGGCCTACAAATCATATACATATATGCAATCAAAAACCTGTTCTTACAATGAGTTTTATTGGCCCAATAAGGGGGCGTGTGTCTGATAAACCCACAAGAAAAATTGTACTCTATTTTGTCTGTTTTTTTTATTCCCACAATTTTTTTCTACAAATTGTTAATGTTTGTGTCTGTTTTTTTTCAGTTATTAGATGGCAGCTCCGTGGCAGGCCCCATCAGCACAGGGCCTGTATGATCCCTCATTGGAGAGGGAAGCCTGCGGTGTCGGATTTGTAGTAGCCATTGATGGAAGACGCGATAGAAAAATCGTGCGTGATGCGCAACGTCTCGCTATATCTATGAACCATCGTGGGGCATGCGCATGCGACAATGATACTGGCGATGGAGCTGGAGTACTTACTGCCATTCCCCATGACCTTTACGCCTCCAAGCTTAAGTAAGTACTGGTAGGCATGGGTAACACTGTGTTGAGTTGCGCCTTTGAGTTGATGCCGTCCTTTGCGTTATAACTCATCGCAACTCTTTTTTCAATTTTCGCAATTTTTTCTTAAACTCCTACAGTTTATAACATATTTTGCTCAAATTTTTAAGGTAGACTAATGTTTAGACCCTTTACCCGTAGGTAAGACCACTGGTTGTGAAAATCTATCGGGTGTTCTTTTTTCTAGAGGCATACCCCATTTTACTCCACCAAACTTTTTTGTGGTGCGCCACTGACTTCGACCGAACACATTTTGCATTTTTAATATGTTGTCTATATGTATAGTTATCTCATTTAATATTCTTCTCACATCTACAATTTAAATGTAGAATTATACCCAGATAGTATAATAATAAATTAGGTACTTGGATATGTAGAAGTTGTCTCAAGCAAGTGTGAAAAACACGACTGACATTTTTTTTAAGCCAAGGCCATTAAATTTGTTAGATGTTGAACTGAACTTCGTATCATCACAAAATTAATTTTATTGAAACACAATCTGTTGACAGTTTTTTTATATTTTTGTTGAAAATATGTACAACCGTTTATTGATATAAAAGCTGTAGTTCGATAAATCTATCGGCACTATAGAATAGTGTTCTCGTAAAAGTAAGAAAATATTCAAAGGATGAAATGCAAAATTTGTCTTTAAACAAAATTTGTCCTATAAATGTGGCATATCATATTGAAGACATTGAGACTTTAGTAAACATCTGATGCACTAAAAATTAATGCAAGTTTCATAGTTAGTTTCCATGAGACACCCTCTATTGTTAAAGTTTCAGTTATTAAGGTTTTATTCAATTGCGCTTTTTGTAATTAAAGTCAACATGTGACTTATATATACATATAAAAACAGTTAATGGACACCATTCATAAAAGTTGAATTTTTCAACTCAAATGTATCTCTGAAAGAAAATGTGTATCAAAGTACGAAAATTTATTACATTTAAATTAACCGATTTTTTATCCGAAACTTCAAGTTCTTCAAATTTCTTCGGGGAACCAGTAATGAAAAACAAATAAAGGGTGAGAAGAGAGTTTTAGTGATATAGAACCACTTTCAAACTTCCAGACCATAAAGCACAAAAACAGTGACTTTTTCTGGATATAACGGGGTCTCAATAATGGCTTCGGGATCTTCGTCGCTCCAAATCCGGCAATTTTGTTTATTTACGCAATCATTGAGCCAAAACCGATTATGTCGACCCTAAAATGAACGTTGCGCACGGTCAGTTTGGTGAAGTAAACAGCGATTTTTGAAATAAATTGCCGAATTTGAAGCGCCGAACATCCCAAATCCGAAAGCCATTATTGAGACGCCGTTTTATCCAGAAAACCCACGGTTTGATGTGCTTTTTTATAGTCTAGTGGAATCAAATTGGTTGAAAATTCGACTTCTTTCGTGGGTTGCGCTTCATTCCAGCCGGCCGCTGCGCCCATATGCGCCAAATCATATTTAAGCTATAATGGCATTCAATTGCCTTTTCAATAAAGGCATTGCCATGACTTTAACGTGAAATTTATCAGTTTTATTTCAATTTAGTTTCAAGTTTTATACCTCTAAAAAAACCACCGTTTATAATTGTATTCCGAATTTAAGTTTTAAGTTAAGTGTTTTGGGGATAAAAATTGTTTTAAATCTATTTTTAAAAGAATTTATATTCATATTGATAACGTGCTAAAAAAATTATGTTACAGGTTATTGAAAATTGAAACAGTATTAGGCAAAATTATTACATATACCAACTATTATACATGATTCGGTAAGCACATGATCAAAATTATAATGTGGCTCAAAAGACGACGATCTGACTTAATGTTTGTTAAGAAAAAATGTCTGATTCTTAAGCATTTGATGGTTAAAGCTCTTAAAAATTATGTTTTTTTTACAATTTATAACTTCGACAGAATGTTATGATCGATTTTAATGAGCTTGCTGTGGAGTTGCTCCTACGTAAAACTCATATTTTAATTAAGTTATCGCGCATATCCGCCTTGGGTAAGTGGTCAATTATTGAGTGCTGGTACCAAAATTACCAGAACTCTATTACGTGGTGGCTTTGTTTTGCGAGATGTTTGTGCTCTTTGCATATTTCTGTTATATTTATAATTTATGCGCTAAAACGATTTTTATGTTTTCTTTAATTTAAATTAAATTTCAATAAAATCTTTTCCCAAGAGCACGAAAATATCGGAAAAAGATTAATGATGAATTGAAACAAAAATGAAATGATTTCACATATCAAGGAAAAAGTTCTGCAAGTTTTTTTACAGGCGCGCAAAAATGTCCCAGTGCCATTTTGATCATAGATTTTTATTGGACACCCTACTCTGTATATAAGCTTATCTCGATAAGTCTGTGATTTAACTATGTACTACGCAGAATTTGCGTTTAATCAGAAAGCCGGTTAATCAGAGCAAGCTGTTAGGTATTTAAATACTTCAAACATGATAACAGCATATCAACAACAACAACAACAACAACATTGTTTTTAATGGAAAATAAATGCCTCTTATGAGTGAGACATTCGTCATAATTTACGTCGTCTAATGTAATTAATTAATTACATTAGATAATTCATTCATTCGCGATAATTTATAAATACAGGATGCGAAAGTTATTTAATGAATAATTGCTTGTTATTTTAAGATATAGTTATCTAATTAATGAGAAGTCAATTTGCTTTTACGTAAAAAAAAATCAAAATCAATTCCTGGGGTCATTTATTGTCTATTTATCAATTAAAATACGTTTCGGTGTTTTCCACCATCATCAGTTTCTCGAAAATAACAGATAGTAAAAAAAAATGTTTTCATTAATCTAAAAAACAATCACAGTTTGTCAACAGCTTCATCATATCACACACTAAAATACATTACAATTGCAACACTTTAAAACATTCTGAGATTAATTAGGCCTAAAAAAAATATGTACTACATTTTTTGGTCAGTATTCTGCCGACCCACCTCATGTTTTTCAGCGTGTTTTGATTCATCATGGCAAGATTTATTTACTGTGCTAATTTAAATATATGCTTCAAGTAAAACGTGAATACATTTATTATATTATATAAAACCATACCGTTTTTAAGCGCTTTTGGAAATCCTTATAAATTTAAATGCTCCTGACATTAACCAGATGTTGTTTATTAAAGTACCAATTATCTACAATAGGAAATTCCATCAATAATGTAAAACAAAAGAGTATTTTTAAACATTTCCAAAAAATTTCTACTGTTGATATAGCTGAAAATGTGTTTTTCTTTTAGGGACGAAGACAATGTGCAACTGCCACCATTTGAACGATATGCGACCGGAATCATTTATGTGGACAAGCTTCACCACCAAGAATCTGAGACTAAATTTGGTGCCTTGGCAGAGGTATTTCAGAATTCAAAAACATATTTTTTTTTTTCAAATTGAGTTTGATATAAAACACATTAAACGTTTTCTAAAATTTCTATGAAAGTAATTATATATCTTTGTTCAAACTAGTACTATAAAAATGTATGTAATATATATATTTTTTAATTTATTTAAGGAATTGGATTTGTCCGTGTTGGCTTGGCGTACCGTACCAACCAATAATGCCGCCATAGGCGCAGTTGCGAAAAACTCTGAACCTTTTATGAGGCAGGTAAGCAGATATAAGTACATCTAATAAATGAATAACAAATCTGTAACATCAGACTACATACTTTTTTACCAGTGATTCTATTGTAGGTGTTTGTGGTGCCGAAAGCAGCACTAGATAATGCATCTGATGAGGAGTTAGATCGTGTTATCTTCGTATTAAGAAAGAGAGCAAGCCACGAAATTCCGGCTCCAACTAAGAGATTTTACATCTGTTCGTTGAGCCGGAGAATTGTAGTCTATAAAGGTAAAAACCTATATTCCAGTTGAATTTTTATATATGTAGTAACAGGAAAATCTGTAGATACCAACGTAAACTGTGCCACTGTTACATAAATGGTTTTTTAAATCCGGATATTGTTTTTATTCACAAATTTCTCGAAATGTAAACACAGTTACTACCAGTTCAATTGGAAATATGAAGAACTCATCGCTCGGCTAGTAATACCTGTAAATAATGCCCTCGTAAATACTATATAGTTGGCCAGATGAGGCATGGCGCTTGATGGTACCGATCAGTACACTGAATATTTAGAATGACTAGTTGCCTTAACTAGATGCCTTAACTTTTAAATGTTTACTAATCATTCAAAGAAAAAAAAACATTAGAAACTGCTACAGATATTATAAAGTCAATGTTTGTATTCTATTCGCGCTATTTCTATTAGTAATATTGTTCTTAACTGATCTATATGATAGAAGACCACAGAAGATCCAAGAGTTTAATAATAATATTCACGGAGCAGTCCTTAGTCGCAAATTCCAAAGAATACATTTAAGAAAAAGTTATTTAATTAACATAATTGTTTTAATGTTCACAAAATGCTGCAGAAAACACGATAGCTACAATAATTGTTACTTTTTGTATTTTTTCAGAGGATTTTAAGAGATTTTCTTTTTGTATTAATATTTTAATATATTTTGTATCAATGAAAATACTATATACATAAACATACCTTGGGACACTGTAGTGAGTATACTTTAATAAAGGCTTATTAGTTAAAGAAGCTGCAGACAACAGAAATAAGGAAATTAATTAACTAGGAAAAACTTTACCGATTTCTATTTGACTTGTTATTTACGGTATTAATTTATTTTTGAGTCTCATTATTTTTGTAGGTCAGTTGACTTCAGATCAACTATGGACTTACTTTCCGGATCTAACAGATCCGCTTTACGACACCTACTTGGCTTTGGTGCATACCCGATTCAGTACGAATACTTTCCCTAGCTGGGAAAGAGCACATCCTTTAAGGTGATTATAATATTCACGTAAAAAATATGGAAATCGACAAAATTGAAGCACATGTAAATTTTCTCGAGACCAAGAGACATCATTTAATAATTCGACATCACCTTGACTCTTTTCAAAAGAGGCTGTTTTTCAATAAATTTTCAACACCGACTAATTTCTCTTCAGAATGATAGCCCACAATGGAGAAATCAACACCCTTCGCGGGAACGTAAATTGCATGAAAGCCAGAGAAGGCGTTATGAAGAATCAGATATTTGGCGAAAAACTGAAGCAATTGTATCCAGTTGTTGAACCCAATCTATCCGATAGTGGATCGGCTGATTGTGTGCTGGAATTTTTGGTTCATGCCGGCCAAAGAAAACTGCCAGAAGTATGAGCGACACTTAGAAAGTTGAGAAAAGGGTTTCGATAAAATAATGTTCCAGGCTGTGATGACGATGGTTCCGGAAGCATGGCAAAATGACCCGACGATGCCGGAAGAGAAACGTAACTACTATCACTGGGCAGCCTGCACAATGGAGCCCTGGGATGGGCCGGCTTTGATTTCGTTTACCGATGGGAGATACATCGGTGCTACTTTGGATAGAAATGGACTCCGACCCTCTAGGTTTTACATCACCAAAGATAACATTATGGTTATGGCCAGCGAGGTAGGTTTTTTCGTTGATCCGATCAATGGAGTTTGTATGTAATTTACAGAGAATAGTATGTAATGTCCAATTTGCTCAAATATTTGTTAGTATTTACAATTTTATCTACGGTCCTTTTCGCTAAATATAATTAAAAAATTGCGTTTGTGTTCCGTTCCAAATGCTGTTTGTGAATCAAGTAAGAACATTTTTAAATTCAAGTGATGTTAATATTATAGTCAAGTCCACTTTTTCTATAAGGGTAAGGACAAAACACAGATTTGTAAAAAATGAGAATGGATTTGACGCTATTAAAGAGTGGTACATACTTCAATTACCACTTTCCTGGTCTCAAATTTCTTATGTACTATTTTTTAAGTCTATGTTTTATTTTTCATTTTTAGGTGGGTGTATATGATGTAGACCCAGCCAATGTTATTTTGAAGAGTCGTCTGAAACCCGGGAGAATGCTGCTAGTCGACACTAAGGAGAAATCTGTTATTCAGGATGTGGAACTGAAACATTACATTTCGCAATCCAGACCTCATGCAGAGTGGCTTAAAGAACAGGTAAATTATAAGAAAATTGATACATTTTAAATAAATACAACCTACACTGGATTTCGCAGAAACTTTTAGAGTATATTCGAACGAAACTAGACTGTTTGTTAGAAAAAGAGATTTAAAGCAAATATATGTATATGGTTCATCAAATTTGTACTTTTTCCATTTATTTAAGTTTTATTCTAATAAAGCAATAAAATCATATTCGGAAATGTTCTCAAACGGTCCTTTCACGTGTGCCCGAAAAATCACAATGTCAAAAATTGATAAAACTGCACCGCTTTCAGTTCAAATGCGAAACTCTCACGCACACGCATTTTTCCAAAGCCGTGTACTCCCAGAGTTTTTTGACGCTGTTTAATTTTTTTTATAAATGGTTTATGATAAGTTCAGCTCTTTTGGTTATCGAGATATTGCAGTTTTTTGCGATTTTCTGGAAAACTATGAAAGCTGGAAAATTACCGTTGGATAGTGCTCGATGTACCCGATATTTTATAAAGAATAACTTTTTTCGAAAGGAAGTTTTGTTTCGGACATTTTTGGCGATTTTTTTTAACTATTCCTTAACAGATGGTTAGATATGGAAAAGTGACATGACAAATCAATTTGGTTGGTTCAAAAAATTTCTAGGGCTACAGGGGAAGACGCAAAATTTTGTATGCACAGGGTTATTGATTCAACTTTGGCCACCCCGTTTTAACGGGTTTTTATCTAATTTGAAAATTAGAGAAAAATGTTAAATACAAAAGTTGTAGATATTAACGTCTAGTTTATTTTAATATAGCATTAAATGATACAAGGTGTCTCAAATTCAAGTGACAAACCAATATTCGAGCATATTCCTAAAACACTAATTGACAATAGCAACTCCATCTTAAATCCATTCGGCAAATGGGAAGAAAAAAACTACATTTAACTCCATGTAATAGGTAAATTTTGGTACCGATCAATTGGAAATGCTTCCCAAAAATCAGAAAATGTTGATGATTATATTCGAATTAGACCGTTAGACCGTTCAGATTTGGTTAAAGATTTGTGAACGCCATAATGAGAAACTATGTTTCCCTTTTTAGCCAATAAATCTAAAAAATGTTCAACAATTTACATGTTTTTATGTAAACACAAATTTAAAAAAAATCAAAGAATAATAGAGGGATAGCAAAGCTTTAAATATATTTAAACTGTTTAATGTTTTTTCTACATGTTTATAGTCTTTTCCATTTTTGTTTGCCACTGTTTTAAAAATCTATAGTAAATCTAAACGTTTACGTTACTGCTTACGAAAAGCTTGCGCTCTGCAAAAAGGTTCCGCATACTCTGCTAAACAGTGGCGTCGCCTAGATATGGTGATGGTATTAATTACCTTGAGGTGCACAATCAAGTCAAGTATACATATATTTAAAAAGTTCGTAATTGCCAAATTCAGCTTTAAACCATCTCTCTCCTAGTGGTTGGACACCTAAATATATTTTTTAAATTGCCTCATTTGGCTCAAATTTGGAGAACCGGTTGAGCTGTAGAGCGTTAGTTCTCATTGCCACATAGAGCCTTAAAATGCTAACTTTTGGTACTAAACAGAATTTTAGGAAAGTTTACAGTTTTCACGCAAAGTGTGCAAATTCAAAATTTATGCGCGTTTTGAAAACCGCATCTTCTAGTCTTTGGTTCATTCTCAGACTGAAGATACTTTTGGTTTTGATTTTTCGTCTGAAGTTGATACTAAGATTGCTTTGTAACGTATAAATAAATCAGAGGTTTAATCGACTTAAACTCGAAGAAATCTGTTTATGATTCTGGATTATATTTACGTACCAATAGCCCCTTTGTAACACATTACGGTTGAAATATTTATTAAGTTTATATTAGCGAGTTTGAGCGAACAAATAAATGTGAGCTAAAAATTTTTTTAGGAATAAACTTAAAAACATGCGGTTTGTTTACTAGTGTGCAAAGCAACGGCACCTTTTCCATATGGATATACTGCACTTACTTGGCTTTAGTCATTTGTCGTTTTAAAAATATTGGGAATGAGTTCTGTTTTACTGCATTTTTTAAGAGGAAGGCACTTAAAAATATTTTTATATATATTTTTAGTTAGCTTGAAATAATTTGCTATATTGATCAGCTATCAATACCATCCTCATCTATTATCAACCATGTTAATAATAGAGTCATTGTATATGATACGTGGCAAAAATAGTGCAGACAATATTTGAATTAAGAATCGGCTGAAACGAGATTCTCAATGTTTCGTTGTATTTGCTTCAGTGGAAATTCAATAGTACATTTTTTTACACTTAAGATTATTAAAAGTGCAAAGTTCATACTGCCAATTGGCAATGCATTTATAAAGTTATATTTTTCCCAAGTCCAATAAATTTCTGATTTATTATTGAACTAACGACTCTAATTTGAAATTCGATTTTTGCTTATTACTATTACTTTACTTAAGACTCGACTTGTAGATTTAACACGTTTACCAGTACAATTAAAAACACTTGTAGCGCTTTATGAAATTGATGTGATACTAAAGCATAATTTTTCTTTTTCTATATTGTTCCGACGTCTACAGATGGTGAGTTTTCGTAGTGACGACGATTGCTTTCTGTGCAAATGCAGATATTCGTTTTGCTGTACGATTTTTCTTAGTTAGACGCAAATTAGATTTGTATTTTTGATTAACATAGTATGCTTGCGTGTAGTCGTATTAACCCTATTTCTGTTATTTTCCTATGCAAATATTTTAATAGCATTGTGGTAAAGGGGTTAAAATGGGTTTTTCCTTTAGATTTCAATGGATGAATTGAGAAAAGCTCACTTGGAAGCTGGTTGTTCAGCCAAGCCAAAATACGAGCCAAGTGGATTGAGTGATAAGCGACTACCATTGTATGGTTACTCCACTGAGACCATTCATATACTGTTGTTACCCATGATCAACAATAAGTAGGTATTTTGTTTAGAGAGCCGCTTATAATTAAGCAATGACTAATTAATAAATTCACAATTTCCTTTCAGAAAAGAAGCGCTTGGCAGTATGGGCAATGATGCCCCTTTGGCATGCCTCTCCAACTTTGCACCGCTGCTTTTCGAGTATTTTAAGCAATTATTCGCCCAAGTGACCAACCCGCCTATTGATCCATTCCGCGAAAAGGTTGTAATGTCTCTTCAGTGTCCGATTGGTCCAGAGGCCAACATTTTAGAACCCAATGCTAAGCAGGTCAGCATTACTTCAAGCAAATTTAATATTTAATTTTGCATAAAACACGTTTTTTTTAGGTTCACAGATTTTGGTTGAAAAATCCGGTAATTTCTATTGCGGACTTAGACGTGTTCAAAAATATCTCTCATAGAAATTGGTCGTCGCATACTATCGACATTACATTCCCTGTGGAGAGTGGGATTGAAGGATTCCTGAAAAAATTGCAAGAAATTTGCGATCAAGCCAATAAGGCAGCGAAAGCGAATGAATTGATTATTTTATCTGATCGACTGGCTGGCAAAAATCGTGTTCCGATTAGCAGTTTGCTGGCATTAGGTAAGTAAACATAAAAAATATATCGAAACATAATAATAAATCACTGCCACATGAATGGGGACATTTCCAGAAGGAAAAGGTTTAACAGCCGTAAATTGCGACAAACATGTTTTTTGCTCGAAAACCTACTGAAATTTGATCTTGGAGAAAATATGTTGGAAGTAGCTAATGATCTTTACAAATAAAGCCATTTAAATTTTTAGCAAAGTGACCCTAAAATTCATCCCTGTCATATGATATCATATGGAAGTAAAATATGTTAGCACCCAAAACACCTCAAAATATCTAACGGGTATATAACCAGTTTATAAATTGTAGATTTTCTCTAACGGCGCTGCTCCTTCAGTGGTCACATGCCCCGTTTGTAAATTTTCCTCCTCTATTTGAATATTTTCTTTTAGTTTGTATACAAAAATTGTGTATTACTGTAGGCGTTACAGCAAAACTTTTTTAAAAATTTCTAGGAGCAACTCATCATCATCTAATCGAAACTCGACGACGAATGAAAGTGGCGCTCGTAATTGAAAGTGCAGAAGTTAGAGAAGTGCACCACATTTGCGTTCTACTGGGTTATGGAGCTGATGCGATTTGCCCCTACTTAGCTCTAGAACTAGCATCGAGCCTAAGAGACCAAGGAATATTGGATACGAGCTTAACTGACGAAGCGATTTATCAAAACTATGCACAGGCCATGCAAACTGGAGTAAGCAAAGTTATGGCAAAGATGGGCATCTCCACCTTGCAGTCCTACAAAGGGGCCCAGATATTTGAGGCTGTGGGTTTGGCAGATGAGGTTATTGATCGATGCTTCAAGGGAACACCATCGAGACTCGGTAAAAAGCAATCTCAATTATACATCTTGTCTACATAGGTACAGTCTTGAAATAAGTGATTTTTTGAAACCACTAATTGCATTTTTTTAAATCAAATACCCTCTATATTACTGCATGTTCGGGAAGACCATTAAATTTACATGATTAATATACAGGGTGTTCCATTGAAAAAAGCAATTGATGTCTTTGGGCGGAAGACCACTAATTGCTAAAGACACCGCGTATAATTTAGAACAAGTTGCTGTATGAGGGCACAATCAAAAAGTTTTTCGAACCCAGTTAATTTCAAATTTGCATCTATCCAAATCGCGTTATAATTCAAGATTTCTTAGTGCTATGTTTTTCATAGTATTTTGAGTGCACACACTATTACTTGTGTGGTACAAATTTTCAAAAATATCGAGCATTTAGTCGTGATCGAGTATTAACATATTTTATTCAGGGGAAAAAACTTTGTATATTGATTTGTAATCAGCTTGCGTTCGTCTGCTCAACGCTGCGTTCTTTCTCCGTGGGAAATACTTATTTTTTAATGTTTTTTATCTTTACAATTTATAAAGGCAAAAGCATTTTACGATCTGACTTAACTTTTGTTAAGAAAAAACTTCTAGCTTCTCCGCTATTAATGGTCAGAGGAAAATAGGATTTTTAAAACGCGAAATAGTAAAAAAAAACGCGATTTTCACATTTTTTTTACTATTTCGTTGTTTATGCAAATACCAAACCTTATCAAGCTGGCGCACCTCAACATTTTCGATAGGTACACCATTCTTGAGCGATTCCGATCTATATAGTTATCTAAGTCACCTCACGTTAGAGATATATTTGAAAAATTTGGCGTAATTCTCCTGACCTATTGGGCAAGTGGTAAATTTCAGCAGTTTACCACTTGTGTCTTGGCACAAAAACTACCAGAAGTTTTTATTTAGTAGCTGCAATCAACTGACTTTTTGTTATTTGAATGTCAAAATATAATGAGTGCATCGATAGGAACAGTATTTTTATTTGCTATACAAAAGGGCTATCGACCCATGTTGGTACCTTAATTATATATTATTAATAACCATTGTTTAATATTTTGCGTGACCTACATGCTACGAGCCGGACACGATAGTTGCCTACTAATGTGTAGGGGCCTTAAGAGATTATGGTAACTGGTGATAGAAAACAACTCTAGAACTGTGAAAAGTGACTTTTTTTTTAAATATTCGGGGAACTTAATGTTCCACTGAACAGCTAAATTTATAGCGAATATCGTACCATATTTACGTGGTTCGCGATTCGTACTACATACATAACTCGTTCGTTAAAAAGACCAACTTCCTCAATATGTAAATTCCTCAATCTTATGAACTAAATACAAAAACGATCTTTCGAACTTGCAGGAGGAGTAACATTGGAAATGCTAGCGGCCGAAGCATTAGTACGTCACAAAACTGCGTATGAAGTGGGCTCCGATTCGCTTGTTCTAAGGGATGCTGGCAAATACCATTGGCGTGCTGGTGGTGAAAAACATTTGAATGAACCCGCTAGTATTGCGTCCCTGCAAGAGTCTGCTGTGAACAAGAACAGATCTGCCTACAATCGATTCGTTGAGTCGACAATGCAGTCAGTGAGAGATTGCATGCTTAGAGGCCGATTGGAGTTGAGAACTCTGGATGAGCCATTGCCATTGAATGAAATCGAACCGGCATCGGAAATCGTTAAACGATTTGCCACGGGAGCGATGAGCTTTGGATCCATCAGTTTAGAATCACATCAGACTTTGGCGATTGCAATGAACAAGGTAAGTTAAGAACTGACTTGTTGAATCCCGTATGTCCTATGATACTTTACACATTAAGCTACTAGGTGAATTCTCATATTAATCAGGACAATTGACTAATATTAACTTTCTTGAATAGCTGGGCGGTAAAAGCAACACAGGAGAAGGTGGCGAAGACCCAGAAAGATATCTCGACAGTGAGAAAAGATCAGCTATTAAGCAAGTTGCTTCCGGACGATTTGGGGTAACGTCTTCATATTTGGCACACGCTGATGATCTGCAAATCAAGATGGCACAAGGAGCTAAACCTGGAGAAGGCGGCGAACTGCCCGGCTATAAAGTTACCGCTGATATTGCTAAAACTCGTCATTCTGTCCCGGGGGTAGGGTTAATTTCACCTCCTCCCCACCACGACATCTATTCAATCGAAGATTTAGCTGAACTTATATATGATTTGAAATGCGCCAATCCACAGGCTCGCATTTCCGTTAAATTGGTATCTGAAGTAGGTGTAGGAGTGGTTGCTAGCGGTGTTGCGAAAGGAAAGGCGGAGCACATTGTTGTTTCAGGTCATGATGGCGGCACCGGCGCCAGTTCCTGGACAGGCATAAAAAATGCCGGACTACCCTGGGAATTGGGTATTGCCGAAACGCATCAAGTCTTAGTTTTGAATAATCTCCGATCACGAATTGTCTTGCAAGCTGATGGACAAATCAGAACTGGCTTTGATGTGGTGGTTGCAGCCCTTTTAGGGGCGGATGAGATCGGCTTAAGCACCGCTCCTCTAATAGTTATGGGCTGTACCATGATGAGAAAATGCCACCTAAACACTTGCCCAGTAGGAATCGCCACTCAGGATCCTGTACTTAGAAAGAAGTTTACTGGCCATCCAGAACATGTAGTCAACTATCTTTTCATGTTAGCTGAAGAGATTCGGGAACACATGGCAAAACTAGGCGTGAGAACCTACCAGGAATTAATTGGGAGAACTGATTTGCTCAAACCGCTTGAAACCGGTACACCAAAGGCCAAGATGCTGAACTTAAACCTCATTTTACAAAATGCATTACACATGCGACCAGGAGTGAACATTAAAGGAGGGTCCAAAGGCCAAGACTTCCAGCTAGAGCATCGATTAGACAACCAACTCATTGACCTAGCTAGGCCAGTGATTGAAGGCACTCAAGACAGCGTCGATATAGAAATGAAGATCAAAAACGAAGATCGATGTTTCAGCTCCACACTAAGCTATCACATATCTCTCAAATACAACGAGGAAGGCTTGCCTGATGGCAAATCCGTTAATATCCGTCTCACTGGCTCTGCCGGTCAGAGTTTCGGAGCCTTCCTAGCAAAAGGAGTCTCTTTAATTTTGGAAGGAGATGCCAACGATTATGTGGGCAAAGGTCTCTCTGGTGGTTCCATTGTAATATACCCACCGAAAACATCGCCATTCGAGTCCCATTTAAATGTTATTGTAGGCAACGTCTGTTTATATGGCGCAACTTCTGGGTCGGCTTTCTTCAGAGGAATCGCGTCTGAGAGATTTGCCGTGAGAAATTCTGGGGCTGTGGCGGTTGTCGAAGGAGTCGGCGATCATGGCTGTGAATACATGACTGGCGGAATTATTCTTATTCTCGGTTTAACAGGGCGAAACTTTGCGGCTGGCATGTCAGGCGGCATTGCGTATGTTTGGGACATCGATGGAAAGTTCTCAACAAAATGCAACATGGAAATGGTCGAACTCTGCAAATTGGAGGATCGTGATGATGTGCTATTAGTCAAGAAACTTCTAAAAGAATTTGAAGAGTTAACTGGTAGTCTGGTGGCCACAAAGCTCATCAATGAATTTGACTCCAGAATGAAGGAGTTTGTCAAAGTCTTCCCATATGAATATCAACGAGCGCTTAAACAAAATACAATTGTCAAGCAGGCGACTACCCAATCAAACGAACCGAAGATCCTCGACATCGAAGATACAGTAGGCGACTCGCATGAGCCCAGGAAAGCGGAGCGTGCTCTGGATAAAGTTAGAGGTTTTATGAAATATCAACGAGAGACTGGACTGTATAGATCTGCAGACAAACGCATGAAAGACTGGGACGAAATTTACAATTTCCAACACGTGAGGAAAGGACTGAGAGTGCAGGCTGCCAGATGTATGGAATGTGGTGTGCCATTCTGCCAGTCTAACTCACACGGTTGTCCGCTTGGGAACATAATTCCCAAGTGGAATTTGATGGTGTTCCAGAACCAATGGCGCCAAGCACTACATCATTTGCTTCAAACGAACAATTTCCCGGAGTTCACTGGAAGAGTGTGTCCAGCACCGTGTGAAGGAGCTTGCGTTTTAGGAATCTCCGAACCAAGCGTCACAATAAAAAATATTGAATGTGCCATTATCGATCATGCCTTCGACAACGGCTGGATTGTACCTCAGATACCAACATCGAGAACGGGCAAAAAGGTAGTCGTGGTGGGTTCAGGACCATCTGGTTTAGCTTGTGCACATCAGCTGAATAAAGCTGGATATAATGTGACTGTGTTCGAGAGAAACGACAGGTAATATTTCCACTAGGACTAGCCTGTTAGAGACGTCGATAAGTAATTACTAAGTTATTAATAAATGTGTTGTTCTTTATAGGGTTGGTGGCCTGCTACAGTACGGTATACCGACTATGAAGCTGAGCAAGCAAGTAGTACAAAGACGAGTTGATCTACTGACTGCGGAAGGCATTGTTTTCAAGACCAACGTCAATGTCGGAAGCGATATTTCTGCAAAGGAACTGAGCGAAGAATTTGATGCTGTCGTTTTGTGCACGGGAGCCACTTGGCCTCGAGATCTGCCTTTGCCAGGTAAAAAAATATACTAGTTATATTTGCACGTATATCTTCAATCTGAGGTGCCAGGGGAATTCAAACAAATGTACATTTGCTTTTTTGCAAATTTTAAAACAACTACTTGTTGAGTGGTTGTTCAAATTTATACTTTAGTTATACTTTAATAAGATACTTAAAAACTTGTGGTTTTTTAAATATTAATTTTATACAAAATCTTGTTGTTGGTGAGTTGTAAGTTTAAGAATGTTTACATAAAGAAAGAGCTGAGAAATACATTTTACGCTTTGAAGAGCACAATTCAGAAACTAACCATAAATGGGCTACAACGTTAATACATATGTCATGACATATCTGCTGGATGCTTGCGGTTGCAATTTTTCCATAAAAATATATGAAATTGTAATTCTTTCCAACTGAATTGTTGCTAATTTAATGAAATTTAAAAAAGTATCGTAATGTTTGTATTGTAATACCTATTTAGCTTTACTAGAGGTTTTCCAAATGACTATTGAGCTCCTTAAAAATATTGCTTAATGGCAAAGTGCATCTTCAAGAGCTAAAACTAGGAGAATTTTTTTCAAATAAAACAATCCAGTACTCTCCAAGTGAGCCCTAAAAGTAACTCAGTAACCCCCTAAAGAATACGCAAATAGAAAACGATTAATAATATTCTAGGACGCCAACTAAATGGAATTCATTTCGCTATGGAATTTCTGGAAAGTTGGCAGAAGAAGCAAGGTGGAGCCAATCACGACGGTCCGCATGCTAAAGACAAGCATGTAATTGTGGTAGGAGGTGGAGATACCGGTTGCGACTGCATCGCAACTTCGCTTCGCCAGGGTGCAGCTTCAATCACGACTTTCGAAATTCTTCCACAACCTGGACCGAATCGATCCAACGACAATCCGTGGCCACAGTGGCCGCGAGTCTTTAGAGTGGATTACGGACATGAAGAGGTCAAAGTGAGGTTTGGCTCAGATCCTCGTGTGTTCAGTATCATGACTCAAGAGTTTTTGGATGATGGTAATGGACATGTCAAAGGTAAGCCCGTTTGAACATTTCTGTTAAATTTGTTTCTTAAACATCTCCTCTTCTAAATCGGTTTGCATACTAATCGAGAACATTGCGAATGTTTTACTATCAGCAGTTGATACTCTTGGAGTATTTTTACAGTTCTTTAAAGATATTTAAAACGCAAAAAAATGTGCGTATTTGACACTCTTCAGATTTTTCAAGAAAACACGGGTAGTGTCTGTGCCGGCATGAATATAATAACAAAAAACACCTTGGCTTTGTATACTAGAGATACTTTCGGTTTTTGTGTCTAAATCAATTGCGTCCAATCCAAAGTTAGCAGGATTAATTCATCGAATTCTTAACACCCTGCATAAAAAATATATTCAGATGTTCCGAAGCTAGTGAGTAAAAAGTTCCAGAAAAAACACGAAAATTGCTGGAGGATGACGACATTCAGGATAATGCCGGAGAATGGCCCACACTTTGGTTCGTTATTTCCACCAAGGTTCGGCTGGAATCCGTAGAAGATCCTTGTTTGATAATATTTTTGTCTCGTGGCGCTGTCCGATGACCGCGGATTCATTCTTGCTGTTTTATTAGTCTCTTAGTAGTAAAATGTTTTTGCGAGGGATATTTTTAGGGCCACCCCTTTACGATATTTCCTTCGGCCGCACATCTTTCATTTCGAGAAAAACACTGCCTTAAATTCGGGAACCACCTGGCACTCGCTAAATATAGTTTTTCTATAGCAAACCGTGGTCTGGCTAGACAAAGAAAATATTCGCATATGAACGGCGAAAATCTAATTCACTTTTGTATAATTAAAAGTTGGAATCAGCCGGGTTCTGATCACTTAAAGTAAAGTAAATCGAAGTGCGCCCCAGAAACAACCTGATCATGCAGAATGCAACCTGGAGAAAAAACGGGACTGACTCTCCTTAATCCCACTGTGCAGACTTATTTATAACCGATTAAAGGGGGTTCCCCTGCACGATACGCGCTCTTCCGCTGTGCACGCCATTTTTTTATCAGCAGAATGGGGTTCCCTTGTAATACTGGGGTTTCCCTGCACGACAATACCTTTAAAGCTTGGCACCCTTTGAGACACTGCAAATTGCTGTAGAATGAAAGTAAAAGCAATTGCTGAAGCCAAAAAATATAAACTGAGAATGAAGTCATACTCAAGGCAGCACCCATTAGCGGGATTTTTGCTTTCGCTGCTTCGTATTTTAATTGAAGACATAATAAGCCATCAATAATGAACTATTTTCAAATATTTTCAGGGGTAAAGACTGTGAATGTTGAATGGGTGAAAGACGAAAGTGGCCGATGGCAGATGAACACCGTGCCAGGAAGTGAGAAAGTCTTCAAAGCAGATCTGGTGCTGCTTGCAATGGGCTTTTTAGGACCCGAGAGAGCGATAGGAGACCAATTGGATCTGGAACTCGATCCCAGATCAAACTTCAGTGCCAACAATTACAGAACGAACGTGAATAACGTGTTTGCGGCCGGGGATTGTCGAAGAGGTATTGCCTAATGAAGTTTTCAATTTCTCATAGCTTGAATACACTTGCGTTCTCTTCTAGGACAATCGTTGGTTGTCTGGGCGATATCTGAGGGCCGTCAAGCGGCTCGAGCTGTGGATATGTTTTTAAATGAAGGCAAAACTACACTACCTGGTCCCGGAGGAATCATTCAACCCACATTGCCGGTTATAGATTCTGTTGTTTAAGCATTGAACACATTAACGACAAAGTGTGTATTATAATTTCTATTTCTTCAGGTTGTAAGTTTGCACAACGAAATTATTTGATTTGAGCAGTCCAATGCATGCAAACATCTATTTGGGTCGGTATAACAATAAACCCATTTGTGGAGATATAAGAATCGATAGACCGGCAAATAAAAATATTAATGTAAGTGGTTGATACAAGATGCTTGTAACAGAGGCCTGAATGTGTATTAATTCCTATAAAGTTTGTGCCCTGATGCTATAAATCCAATACTTAACAAAATTTCAGCAGGGTAAAACGATATTTTTAATTGGGAAAGCCTACCTGAACTGCCTTTGCCTTTAATCGGTGTTATTTGTTAGAAGTAATTCACATTCAAAACGACTACTATAGTTGGAATAGTGGTGTTTATATTGTCCTTGTACCTATTTACTGTAAATTGAATAATTAGGGACAATGGGAGCACGCGTACTTGGTTCAGGACGATTGTCTATGCGATTTAAACCTTCCGCGATTAATATTAAGTTTAGCTTTAAGAGGTTTACGTCAACTACAGTAATATTTTCTAAATATGACATACCTGTATTTGTTTTCTAGTTACTTAAATATCAATATTGCCAGTACTTGAAACACAGTTACTATTTGCAGTGCTGCATGCGATTCCATTTAAAAGTAACAAATCGAAAGTATAGCCTTAGTTATTCAAGACAATAACTTGTTGAAATGTGATGTAAAGTAACTATTTAGGTGGAGCGCCAAAATAGAACTAAATCAATAGGTGTTAAATTATGTTACTAATTATTATTGTAGACTTTAGGGGTTCTATACGTAATCGAAAAAGTCTAAATTCTTACAATGTTTCTGTGTTATTAATGTGAGATTGTTAATTTTAGAATTAAGGATGAATATCCACAAATTTGACCTTGGTTCGTCAGCAAAAACCTCAGAGAGTATTATTAAACATTATTCAGTGACCCTCCGATTTTTATCGAATATTTATACTGAGCTGTTTCATTTAAGAGTGCAACGGTGGGTGTGATCAAAAGGGTCTCCAAAATAAAACCCCACAAGGCTAAAGCAGATAATTCGCTTAAATTCGGCACTTTGATAAATTGAACACAAACCCCATATCCAAATTATTTTTTGTAGTTGAATTTCATTGAAGAACTTGATGAAATCACATAAATATCAAAATTTACTGTTTGGTTTAATAAATTATATATTGATTCGCTACATTATAAGCTAATATGCGTTTTTCTGTAACAAAGTGGTCCAATTACTTTCCTGATATTCGGTCAGCGTTTAGTTGAAGTTTCGATAATGGGGTTCCAAATTTACTTTAATTATTTTATCATTTTCGGAGGTACAATTAATGTACTCGCGAAAAATCCTGTAAGCAGTTGTGAGTTAAACAAGAAAGCAAATGGAGAGCTGCAGAAAAGCTGGTGGGACTGAATATTTCTTTAATATAAAGTATTTTAACTATCATGTTAAACCATTTCTATTATTTTCCAAAGAAACCAGATTGTTAGGTATATTTTCTCAACATGAAAAATTACAATTACTGTAATTTATACTATTTCTGCGTAGTGCGTTTTTCTTTAATTGCAGAATAAACTACTATTATGCAGTTGTGTTCTTAAATGAGCCTCCTTGCATGTATTATTAAATTGTCCACAATTCTATAAGATGCGAATCATTGCATCTCTTAAACCCTATTTTCTTGAGTATTAGCTGAGTACTTAATACCAAGCTAAAAACGCACATTTGGTTAAACGATGACTTAATTATACCATACAGCTACGTAGGTACTCAAATTATTGGGTAATGTAATTTTAATTTAACTGTGCGCCACTTAAGGACTTCAAATCTATTATTGGTGCAATTCAAAACGATACTCTCGTAAGATTTTTAAAGATGTTTCACTGTTCAGAAGTAATTAATTGAGGTTGATAAAATCATAGTCAATATATTAAATAGATGTTGTTACTGCATTATAAATGTGTTTTATTTACTTTTACTATAAAATGTTGCTATGCCGTTTTAACTATGCTAAATATAAGTTAAGTAGCATGAAAAAATAAGAGGTAAAAATAATATGAGGCAAAAATTTATCAAACCTCAGCTCTCAATAACTAGTCTACTCCGATGGCCTGTCTAGATGATTGAAGTTAAATCCTTTATGTGTTTTTGTTTGTTTGTTGTTTTATTGTGTTGTGTATTGTTGTTTTTTATTTATGTCATAATAATTTCCTATTCAGCGAACTGAACAAACCACTATACTATAGTTCACGTTCACCTATATATTCGATGTAAGTCAACCAGAGTTTCTTTCTCCACCTGATTATAGATTTTTAGTTACCCAGCAACGTAACTTTTCTACACAAACTGACTTTTCGCAGTGCAGTTTTTAATTGTCAATTTACAACACAAAACTACCAAAACGGGCTCTTTTGTATAGGGGGTTTATTCATGCTTTAATCGGCGAAATAATCGAATAGTCTTTTATTCCGCGCAAAGAGAGAGTGAAAAATGATGTCAACCAGTTGTGCGAGCAGTGTTTCCGGCCACAAATTGTCGTCTCAAAGCCAAAACGATAATCGGTAGGAATACTGTTAGTACTCCATTACTATTTGTAAGCTTCAGCCAACCCACATACACTTTCACTTCATCAGCATACTTTTTTTGCTCATATTTGAGGAAAATTTCAATAGAAGCTCGGATGTTTATTATTCGGTTTTTTACATTTCAAATCTTTGTTCCATAAGTATCACTAAGAATGCAGCTTTATTTGCACCAACGGCACAGAATAAGTATTTATTGCGTTAGTATAAAAGCAAACTACTCAGAAATCTGCATTAAAAAATCAGCCATACAGGATGAGAAGTAATCATTTGGTAAACAAACTCCGGCCGTAGATTATCCGATACAAACGAGTAATAAATTCACCAAAAAATAGAAAGCTGTGTTATTAAGATAGAGTGATATAAAATCTATTGAAAGAAATTGCATACTTATATGTGAACACACACGAGTTCACACACACAGTTTCTAATGTCTAAATAACACTAGTTTTACTTTTGGTGATCATACATACTGCGAGGTAGGTATTTGTTCAAAAAATAATAGCCCACAGTGTTTTTCAACATAGAAAAGCTGCTACGGTTACTTAGATAAAAAATATAAAATTTCCCTAGTAAATTAAATAAACATCAATTCTTTCTTAAGAGATATCGTTTTTTTGCGTAGTGACTAAGTAAAGTAAATCAAGGATTTTTTTCGTCTACTTAAAATGTGAGTCTAATGTGTTTCACCTGTAAATGGTAAACTTGTGCCAAAAAAGTGAATATGCAGCATTTCCATATTATAATCATACAGAGCATTTATAACTTGAGCAGTACCTAACTCTTATTTGAATGAAAATAATCATATCATGGTATTTCAAATTAGATTGTTTATCAACAAAGAAAATATTTTTTTTCGTTTGCAAAATTGGTAAAATTATATGGAATTATGATTTTTTGCAAAAGAATGAAAACATTTATATTATAAAGTAATTATTAAATTAGTAGTACTGAGATAAAAAGAAAATAATCAATAATTAACCTTTACTGGGCTATACAAATATACTGGGCTTAATAAAACTTAATTAAAATCGAAGAACAGACAGGAGAAAACAGTGTAATGCTATTGAGATTATTTGAGTTTTATAATAAATTTATTTCAATGTGTTTTTCAGACAAATTTGAGTAAAACTTTTGAAACAGTTTCTATTAAATTAGGGATGCGTTATCTATTAAATGCTAAGATTTTGCCAGAAAAGGTTTATGAGTTTTCCTTATAATTCAGGAGATATTTAACATTAGAGCAAAATTGGTGGCATGTGGAATTTAGTAACCAGGATTAAAATCAGGCAGATATTAATTATCAATATTTCAGAAGCAGTAAAAGAAACCGCAATGCTTGAGTAATGGGAAAGCTTTCCGGTATTTACAAAATTTAATTTTACTTGTTTACCGGAAAAATTACTTGTTTTATTGCATCAGTCAAAAGTTGCGTATTCTAATAAGCTGAGAAAAAAATTGTCAATTCTGTCCATTTGTAAACGAGATTTTGGTACATACTTTGAACAAAATCCCTATAGTTTCCTAGACTAGATAGTTCAAACCGTTTTCGAGATTCCAATGAAGTGATCTTAATTTTAATGAATCTGTATACTAGTTGGTATTCACTAAAGCAACAAAGTCCCATTTGCAACTCTCTACTACTAATTACAAAACAACAAATTTTTAGTTACAACTTTTTTTTGGCACACTTTTTCAGAAGCAAATCGTGCGATACAAACTGCACTTCGAATTCGAGCTGTTTTTTCAAGCGAAGAAAACCGATGAATCCGCTCGCCTACTCAATGCGTCCCACAATTCACAAGGTAAATAATCCAGTTAAACAGAGAGTGATGTCTGCAAAGCTTTTGAAACTGCGCCAACTGCAAAGCCAATTAAATGACGCCAATTTTCATTTGGCCGAGGTAGCCAGAGAAAATCAAACGTTGAAAACTCTGCAGAAAAGACAAGACAAAGCTCTTTCAAAGTATGAAAACACCAATTCGGATCTGCCACGGCTCATACATTCACATGAAGAGGAAATCCGAGTGTTAACTGAGAAAAATAAACATTTGAAGAAAGCGGTAAAAGATTTGATGGAGCAGCTGAAGCAAAAGGAGGATGAGTTGAGTAAAGCGAGGGAACAACTGGCGCATCTGGAAAAACTGAACAGAGACAAACATCTCACCCAAAGGGAGAAGCTGACTGATTTGATGGAAGAATGTAAAATCAAGCTGCAGAAAAGCGAAGAACAAGTGAGTACGTTGAACAGGAAACTGCTGCTCGAAAGCAAGTCTTCGAAACAAAGGTTGAACTCAGAAATTGTTAAGCATAAGCAATGTCAAAAGGAGCTGTTGCATGCATTTGATGAAATCGATCGACTTAGTGGCTTATTAGATGTAAGCAGGTAAATTTTTAAGAAGGCATAAGATTGCGGTTTCATTTTTTTTAGGCCAAAGAAAATATGGTACGTCCACGAAATTCTAGATTTAATAGAATGCCGATGAAAGAGCCCATATCAATGACGACTTTAAAGGCTTATCAACCAATAAACAGAAATTTTAGTAATGAGAAATTACCTTCCCAAACACCCGTTACCGAAGTTAAGCTGGAGCCAATTACGAATGGAACCAGTGCCAAAGACCTAGAAAATATACATCGCAAAAACCAAAACGAGTTCAAAGCTCCAATGGAAAATATCAGACAAAGGTAGCTCTCAAAGCTCCCATTATTTCCCCATTTTAACCATACATAAAAAATATTAAGACTTTCAGCAGGCTCAGGAAAATTCAATCAAGATACTAACAATGCTCACCCTCAAAGCTCAGATGTGTCAACTGAAAGTAGTGACAATTCACCAAGTAGTTTCAAGGGAAGGCCCAAAAGCTCCATGAAGTTGGAAAAACTTCCTTGCGTGCAAGAAAAACAGAGAATAAGAACGAAAATGAAATCAGATAATGATGACACCACAGTTGAAATTAATAATGAGAGGATGGTTCCAAGTAATGGTAGTGACGAGGAGGATGAAGATGTGAAGAATGAAAACATTGTTGTGTGGTACGACCGGAATAAGCAGGACTTATCAACGGACTGCATTAATAGCGTCAGGTACTTTTACATAGAACTGCAGTAATTTTCAAAATTCTACTCTGGTTGAGCTGATGCAGAAAAACTTTAACAAATTTTTTATAGTCATTAAAAATACAACTGTTTTTTAAATGCATGTAGTTCAAAGGCATATTTTCATTTGGGGAAACTTTTATATTATTTGTAATTATTGAGTAATATGACAATAACTGAAAACTGTAATTTTTAGACCCAAAATAACCCAACAACATTTCGGAGAGTCAGAAAAAGACAGTTCGTCAGGAAATACCTCTGATGCTGATTTTAGAGAGACGCTTCAGCAAATCGAAAAAAGTGACCATGAACAGGAAAATTTACTTGATCAGTCCGAAGAATCCAGAAGAGGCAGCGATGGGTCCACATCTGCGAGTGTCGAATCCGAACAAGATATCGAGAAAATGGCCGAAAATTTAGATATGGCTATACAAAAAGCTGCCGATAATTCCAAAGAGGAATTTGATAAAAATTTAAGTACGTGGACCCCTCATTTAGCATTAGCACATTCAGCTTAATGCATCAGAGTCAATTACTTACAATTTGTTTAAATCACACATTTTTTTAAAAATTATCAGATTATTTATAGAATTTATTATATTTCATAATAATTGTTATGATTATATGTCGGAATAGGCACTATTTACCCATTTCAACGTAATATATTTGATTGTTTTGTTTCTAAAAATATGGAATACACTTTACCCGGAAGTGCGAAAGATATTGAAGACACATTAACATTCAAGAGCTATATAAGTGTTCCCCTTAAATATATTTACATTCCTTTGCTCCATTGAATCTAAATAATGCAATGTAACAAATTTTATAATTCAAATCTCAAATCAAATTTTCAAGTAATTTTCCGTAATTCAGACCTGGAAACCTTGGAATTGGGTTGTTGCGTTTTTAATGGCGATTTTCAACTCATGAATAACTTTCTCCTTCTAATAAATATTAATTACTTTTGCTTTCAGGTGATTATTGTACAGACGTACTGAGCAACGTTAAAAGTTGCAGTAAAGTAATAGAACTTCACAAAGATAGCTTGAAACACTCCAAAAACGATACGCAGACTCTACTGGAAACTTTCCAAAATACTGAAAAGGTAGAGGCAAAACTGAAACACTCATTCTTCAATTTGGAAGATGATATGGATTTCGTGAAAGAAATTTTAAATGAAGAACACAAATTTCAAATGGAGCACAAAGTAAATGTAAAGTATATATGGTTCTAAAATATCTACAGGCTACGTTTTCTTGCAGGGTAATAAATCGTCTCGCGAGAAAAATGGAAAAATGGAGAAGAAATCGATGGTAAACTTGGAGAACAAGAAAAAACTGTTGGCTACTCTGCGCGCTATCGATAATGACGATAGTGTGGATGAAAAACATGAATCTGTTGCAAAAGACTTGTTTGGAAAGGTCCACGTCAGAAACTAATTTTCAAATTTAAGAACTCTAAACACCTATAAATATCTACTTATTTTTATGCATATTTCATATATTTATGTATGTTATTTATGTAAATAATAAAGGCTATTATGTGTTTTTACTTACATTATTACACTAATATTTTAAAACAAAAATTGTGTTTGATATGTATCCAACAAAACTCTTTATTGGACGTAAGTAGATATACTTACAGGTTGATCGAAAATGGATACCAGAAAATTGAGTGGTTCACATTTTAGGGAAATGGAAACTGTTTGAAAAAATTGAAAATATGAATCTTAGATGAACTGTGTTATCACACAAAGGAATTCAATCTGAGGGAGGAATATTTTACTAAGAGTAAAGATACAAGAGGCCATAGAAGTTCTAGATGGAAAAACTATGTAGCAGGTAACTAAAAAAGTATTGATCTTTTTATGATTATGCAGCAGTTTGAAAAACCATTATTTCGTGAAACATTTTCCGCAAGTTGTTAATTAGTTGTTTAATTAGTTGTTTTGAAAATTACAAAACTTTCAAAACAACATAGAGGAAAAGTTGCTATTCTAAATTCTAAGCATATTCTAACATTATTTTAAGCAAAAACATATTCTGTCCATTTCTGTTGAGTTATTTAAGTTTAAAGCAGTTAAGAATGCACGTTTAAAAAATAGTTAAGCTACCTACCGTTCAGCTGCCTATTCCTGTGTCCAGAAAGTCCATTGCTGTCAATGCTAGTCTCAAAATGAGCACTCAAAAAAGTCCACAAAACCCGCATTCCAAATATCCAGTGACTACGTCTAGTCGGAGTCGGCGCAGGTCAAGATAGCAGATCCATTGTAGGGGTTGTCAGAAAATTTGAAAAATCGCGTTTTTGTTGTTCATTTAGCACGGCCGGTAGAGAAATTTCCACGTTACAATGAAGAAATGCATTTTCTTTCAGAAAATAAGTCATTTTTCGCACAAAAGTTAAAAATTGTGGCAATTATCGAATTTTTAACGGAGCAAAACACGCACTGTCGTTCCCATCCACCATTAAACATTCACTAATTCAACGAAATGACATCCGGACCGACTTGCTGTTCAAATCTTATGCAACTGTAAGTATAAAATGATATTGGAAAAATGTTTATGCGGTGTTTTGTGTTTAAAATGATTTCATGACCAGGTTTGATGAATCTTGTGCAGTACGTAAAATAGTTTTATTCAATTTCGAATGAATGCCTAATTAGCCTCCAAGCCTCAGTGTTTTACATTTAAATGAATTTGTTGAGGGTTCTTCAAGAAACTTTATCTCAAACATCATTTTTGAGATTCAAGCAATTTTCAACACGAAATTTAGTGGAGTTATACGGGAAGCCCGGTATAAGGTTTTTGCTGAAAGTCCCACTTACTTGTTAGTGAGCCCCATTTACTTCTGAGACCACAAAATGTTATTCGCCTTTTCAATTAAAGAAGAAAATGTACAGTCCCTTAAAACAGCCATTTAATACGAAACTTTGTTCCTTTATTTACTCTTTAAACTTTTTCGTTCAAAGAATTGTCAAGTTTTGCGACCACTCAATTAAATTGATAAATGTGAAACCTATTTGACGAATAAATGCCGAAATTGCACAGTTAGTTTACGTACTTTGTGAAAATCAGTAAACCTATTAATAGAGTCTATTTAAGCAAAAAACCGTAGAAACCTATCTTCACTACCCGATATTTCAGTTACATAAGATTTAGCAGTAAGTCTATTTCGATGTGACTCAGTTGAACTAGTGACTGTTTAATCGAGTATCGGCTTGCGTTTTGCCCGGTATAAAAATCGAAAATTGCCACAAAATTTCAATTTTTTTGCAAACAAATACTGATTTCCTTAAAAAGCAAGTTCGTATACATTATTTCGTGAAATTTTCCGTGCCGTCGTGTGGTTTTGTCAAAAAGCTATTTTTTATTTATCACTAATCGAATATCACATGAATATTTGTGAGATTAAAGTGCGTCTTCGATTTTTGTGAACTTTTTCGAGTGCTCATTGAAGTTTTCGTGACTAAAGCAATGGATTATTTGGATACAGAAATGGGCAGATGAATGGTAAGCGTAATTTTGCTAAACTCTGATCTCGGATGATTTAATCTTACATGTCCAATGATGAAATATTTTTTTGTTTCTTCTACTGATAAATGAATTCATTATTCCTTTCCGCCACATAAAGGCTGACAATGGAAAACATTTTTCTTTATTCTGATTTTTCTCTGTAGCAAAATACTAAAAATGTAACAAAATTACTGACAAATAAATATTCGGACGCTCTTTAATACGTTCGCCTATATTAAGGCAAAGTTTAATAAGAAGTAACATCAACTTTCGGCTTTGCCCGGCCTTGATACGTTGTACCTTTGAATCCACTAGAGTCTGGCAATATTCTGGGGTGAACAAATTCCAAATTTCAGTTGTTTTTGCCTTTAATCCTGGAACTGTTCGCTGAGGATCGTTGCGCAATCATTTCTTCATGTGATGCCTGAAGCAAATCTCTTTTCCCTAAAAGTAACGTTACTCCGCATTTCCGTTGTCCAGGATATTTTAGATTTACCCCAATTCAAACGTTTTTGCATTTGAACAGCTGTAAATAGTGGCTTTCCTTTGTCTAAACCGAATGCAGATAAAAACAATAAAAAATAAATACTCTTGGAACTTACGCAACATAAGAGTATGTAATTATGAAGTACACTTTATAGCATTTTAGGTACAATCAATTCAATATACTTAACTGGATTGTTCCTGGATTTATTGAAGATTTCCTATTCATTAAAAGGTATCGGCTTGAAGCTGTTTAGTTAAATAAAACGAATCTCGTACAAGGTGTACAATTTATTATTGCCCTAAAATATTTAATTAGTTCAAGGCTTGGTCAATTTTCTGTACATAGTTGACCTTAAAAATAAAATATACTCTAAAAAAATAGTTCGTTTAAAAACGAAATATTATATTATTACTAATAAATAAAATATTTGTTTAACAAAACACTTAAAGTTGATAAACAATAAAAATTTTGGTATAATATAACCAGTTAGATATATTTTAGAGTATATCGAACTCGACTTATAGATATAGGACATTTTAGAGTAGTTTTAAATTAGTAGCAAAGAAACTTCGCTATAATGTTCAAGTAAATAACCAAAAAACACGTTGATTTCTCAATCACACGAGTGATTAAAATTAAAATAAAACTTGCACGTCTTCATGACAAATAATACAACTACTTTTTTAAAGTAAAATATTTAATTTGGCTTGCCAGCTAAATAAATATATGGAAATGATTAGCAGTGTCGCTGTTTTTAATAAACATATTTTATTTGTGTTTTATAAGTGCTTTCAAATGGTTTTGTTAACCCTATTAGTTGATCAAATATAGTTGTATTCGTTCCTGCCATATATTAAATATATTTAAGTAATTATCAAATCAGCTGCTTGTAAAAAAAAAACGTTAATGTACCTTAAACTGCATGAGAAGAAATCTAAATTTAAAACCCAGAGTAAAAATAGAACAATTAACAAATTATCTTTGAATGTGTTAAATAAACGTAACGTATTAATAGCAGGGGAGATCATCTAAATAACCAATAAACTATTACCTAATAAATAGCCGCATTTCTGATATTCAAGTGAAAGTTACAATATTAACAATAAAAATTAACCACAAACAATTATTTGTTAATATTATTATAATATTAAACAATAATATTT